CATATATTTGGACTTCACCCCCATTTCTAGAACAGAGCTTCAGAAACCCTTGGAATTTCCTAAGCGGTGATAAGAGATCAAGGTGTCTTTTGTTATGTTAATGAGATGACTTTGGGACTGTCCCTAGGTCACCTAAGAATGAGGGATAATTCCAGGGAGGCTGGAACTTTAATTCCCACCCCTGGATCTCTTGGGAGGGGAGGGCTGGAGGTTGAAGTCATCACTAGTGGCCAGTGATTTAATCAATCATGCCTCTGTAATGAAGCTTCCATTACCCTGCCCCAAAAAAGGACAGGTTCTGAGGGTTGGTGAACACATGGAGGTGCTGGAGAATGGTGTACCCAGACAGGCATGAAAGTTCCACGCCCCTTCCCACACAGCTTGCCCTAACACATCTCTTCCAAATGGATGTTCATCTATATCCCTTATCATATCCTTTTTTTTAAAAATCTTTTTATTTTTCGATTACAGTTTTTCAATTACAATATTTATATTAGTTTCAGGTGATCATCCTGATAAATCGTACCCATCTGACACCATACACAGTTATTAGAACATTATTGACTATATTCCCTATGATGTACTTTATATCCTCGTGACTATTCTGTAAAAATCTACTTGTACTTCTTAATCCCTTCACCTTTCATCCATCCCCCAACCCTGCTATCAGGCAACCATCAAAATGTTCTCTGTATCTATGAGTCTGTTTCTGTTCAGCTTGTTCATTTATTTTATTTTTTAGATTCAATTGTTGATAGGTATATATATTTATTGCCATTTTACTGTTCATATTTTTTATCTTTTTCTTCTTAAAGACAGACCCTTTAACATTTCTAGTTTGGTGGTGGTGAACTCCTTTAGCCTTTTCTTATCTGGGAAGCTCTTTATATGTCCGATTCTAAACAATAGTTTTGCTGGGTAATCTTGGTTGTAGGTCCTTGCTTTTCACCACTTTAACCCTTTTCGGTCCAACCTCAAGGCCAACTCGACAGACCAGGTGCTAGAAGCAGGTCCAACGTCGAGCAATAAGAACATTAAGAAGTTCAACATTCAATCCTGTCAATTAATTTGGACCAGACTGTTTGAATTCCAAAAATAACATTGGACCGCAAAGGGTTAATATTTCTTGCCATTCCCTTCTGGCCTGCAATGTTTCTGTTGAGAAATCAGCTGAAGTCTTATGGAAGCTCTCTTGTAGGTAACTAACTGCTTTTCTCTCGCTGCTTTTAAAATTCTCTGTCTTTAACCTTTGGCATTTTAATTATGTGTCTTGGTGTGGACCTCTTTGGGTTTATCCAGTTTGTAATTCTGCACTTCCTAGTCTTATATGTCTATTTCCTTCAATAGGTTGGGACATTTTCTGCCATTATTTTTTCAAACAGGTTTTCAACTTCTTGCTCTCTCTCTTCTCCTTCTGACACCCCCATGATGAGAATGTTGGTATGCTTGAAGTCGTCCCAAAACCTCCTTACACTATCCTTATTTATTTTGGATTCTTTTTTTTGCTGCTCTGATTGGGTGTTTTCTGAATCACAAAGCACCGCACCCTGGCTGGTTTGGCTCAGTGGATAGAGCATTGGCCTGTGGACTGAAAGGTCCTGAGTTTGATTCTGGTCAAGGGCACATGCCTGGGTTGTGGGCTTGATCCCCAGTAGGGGGCATGGAGGAGGCAGCCAATCAATGGTTCTCTCTCATCATTGATGTTTCTCTCTCTCTCTCTCCCTCTCCCTTCCTCTCTGAAATCAATAAAAATACATTAAAAACAAAACAAAAACAAATTACTGTTTTGATTCTTGGCTTCATGTACTCTACTGTTGATTCCCTGTAAATTATTCTTCATTTCAGTTAGTGTATCCTTCACTTATGACTGTTCATTTTATGGTTTCTATGTCCTTTTCTTATGTTGTTGAAGCTCTCTTTAAGTTCCTCTACTCTTCCCCTAAGTTCATTGAGCATCCCTATGACCAGTGTTTTGAACTCTGCATCTAAGAGATTGCTTGTCTCCATTTTGTTTAGTACTTTTTCTGGAGTTCTGTTCTGTTTTTTTCACTTGGAACAAATTTTGTTTCCTCATTTTGGCAGTCACCCTGTGTTTGTTTCTATGAATTAGGTAGAGGTGCTATGTCTCCCAGGCTTGGTAGAGGCCTAATGTAATAAGTGTCCTATAGGAACCAGTGGTACAGCTTCCCTGTTTACACAAGCTGGGCACTCCAGGTGCACTTGTGTGGGCTGTGTACATCCTCCTGTTGTAGTTAAGCCTTGATTGCTGTTGGCACATCAATGAGAGGGATTCACCTCCAGGCTGACTGACTGCAAGAACTGGCTGTGACCACCACTACGGATCAGCTGTGCAGAGGCCTACCCTTCAGAGCAGGACTTATTTCAGCAGGGCTCTGGTGCTCACTAAGTCCACCCCTTGAGTATGCTGTTGTGGAGGTACTTTGAGGTGATCTGAGGTTGTCCACTGGGTACGCTGGCTCTGGGGCTTCCTGGGAGGTGCAGGCCAAGGTCAGGGGCCACCCAGCATGAGCTACAAAGAGATCTTCAGATGGCTGCTACTTGTGCTGGGCTTGGAGGTGCCCAGGAGAGGCCAAGCTATGAACATAAGCATGTGCCAAGACAGGCCATTCATGTAGAAAAGCCATTGGAAAGAGCTTGGGTGGTGGGGCAGGGTCTCAGGGAATCACAGGATGGGGAAGACGGGAAGCAGTGACAGCGAGTTGATGGAGACTCAGCTATAGCTCTGTTGGGGTAAAGCTCAGAAAAGGAACAAAGGCCTCTGCCAGCACTTCTGTCTGGGAGAAAGCTGCCCTTCCAGCTCTTGCCCTGATGACAATTCAGTTCCTCCCTGTATGTCCCTGGTGCCTTTCAAGCTGTTGCCCCAGCACTGGAGCTCAGAGCGAGTGAGTCTGAGTAAATCCACGCACAATCTCTTTAAGCAGAGCTGCCTGGGACTCCAGCAACCTCCAAATCACTTAGTCACAATGCCTGCTGGTTCTTACAGCCAGAAGTTGTGGGGACTTCTCTTCCTGGTACTGGAATCCTGGACTAAGGGCATGGTATGGGGCTGGGACCCCTTGCTCCTCAGGGGAGACTTCTGTGGCTGAGATATCCCTCCTGATTTTTATCCACCACACACAGGTATGGGACCAGCCAGTCCCACAGCTGGATGTGACTTCTTCTATCTTTAGTTGTAGGACTCTCATTCAGCTAGATTTCAGGCAGTTCTGAATGATGGTTGTTCTGTAGTTTAGTGTAATTTTGATGTGGTTGTGGAAGGATATAGGTACTGTGCCTACTTACGCACCACCTTAACAGGAAACCCTCCTATCTGTATATATAAAAGGCTAGTATGCAAAGTGTCCCCTCGGGAGTTCGACTGGGAGCTCAATCGCTCGCTATGACGTGCGCTGACCACCAGGGGGCGGCATGGAACATGGTGGGCAACCAGCGGCGGTGGCAGGGCGCTGAGGGAGTGAGGGAAGGAGGAGGCGAGGAGGTGGGGAGGCAGGGAACCTGATCGGCCCTGATTGCTGGCCAGGCCTAGGCATCCTACTCGTGCACAAATTTCATGCACCAGGCCTCTAGTCCTTTTATAATAAACTGGTAAATATAAATAAATGTTTCTGTGAGTCGCTCTAGCTAATTAATTGAATCAATAGGAGAAGGAGGTCTTCGGAACCTTTGATTTATAGCCAGTTGGTCAGAAGCACAAGTAACAACCTGGACTTGCAACTGGTATCTGAAGTCCAAGGAAGGGGTCCTTGGAACCTCCAATCTATATCTAGCTGATCAGAAGCTGGGCTCTCAATTGGAATCCAAAGTGGAGGACGGTCTTGTAGAGCTGAGCCGTTTACCTATGGGATTTGATGCCATCCTCAGGTAGATAGTGTCAGAATTGGAGGACATCCAGCTGGTGTCCCCAGCATTGCTTGATGGTGTGGGGATAATCCTCTCCACATGTAGGAATTAATTTCAGAACCATTTAATTTCATCTAATTTTTGTTAATCCTCACCCAGGAATTCTTTCCCATTGATTTTTAAAGAGTGGAAGGGAGGGGGAGAGACAGAGAGAGAGAGACATCGATGTGAGAGAGACACGTCAATTGGTTGTCTCCTGCATGTGCCCAACCAGACCCAGGAATCAAACTGCAACTGATACATGCCCTTGACCAGAACTGAACTTGGGACCCTTCAGTCCATAGGACGGTGATTTATTCACTGAGCCAAACCAGCTAGGGATTCAGAACCATTTTAATATGCTTCCTTCTAACAGTTATCTTTAAAATTCTTCTAACCAGAGCAGTGTAAAATGGTCTAAAGATATTTTATACTTCTTAATCCTTACTGTCTACATTAACATTTCTCTCACCTCATAGCCTTTACTTTCACTGTATTCCTAAGTGCTTATGTATTTGTATTTTAGGTATTTCCTAATTTTTGAGCTTTATACATACTTCACCTCCCTTAGAATTCACGCTTTTCAAAAATTTAAAGCAGAAAAACCCTTTATTCAAAGGAAATCTTCCTCAGAACAGTAATGCATAAAACAGGTTTAAAAAGGAGGGAGACAGTTTGCTCTGATGGAAAGGTGTGGGGAGAGGAAGGAGCTGGGTGTAGGAAGCTCAGCTCTGCCCTCCTCCCCATGCCCTGAATACAGGTACACTCCAGAATCTTCACTAGATTCCCTTCAAGTGACAAAGGGCCAATTCCCTCAATAACTTAGTCTAGTTTCTGGAGCAAACCTACTGCCGCAATTCAGGTGTTCCTTTCAGAGTAACTAACTTCAAGTCCTTTGAAATTACTTTGACATAATCTAATCTCTGGCAGCATACAGAAGTGGTTGTCTCTGGGGAAGACAACTGGGTGGTTAGGGGAGATAATATATTTTTGAATCTTGAAATTTTATACCATGTATTACCTGTACAAAAAAAAAAAAGCAATTTAAAAATGAACAAAAAGCCAATGAAAATCATTAGGCATCTATGGATTCCTGTTACCTTGTTGTCCATAATTGTCCACTGGCCCTCCGTGTTCTGCTTCAAAACACAGTGGTTTCGGGAAATCATCAGAGGGCAGAGTTTTGATACCAGTTGGTATGTGACACCAAATCCTCGGCCTAAAGTCACCTAGGAAGACAACAACAATATGAGAGACACCATCAGCCATTGTGCTGAAAAGGGAGGTCCTTTTGACAATCTTGTCGACCAGTGGTGCATACATGTCCTGACATGAAACCAGACTCCCATGAAACCCACACAGCTCATCAGCCATCCTCCTTCAGCTGCCATGGGAGCCACCAGGTAGAAAAAGGCAAGAAGCTGTGACAAGAAGAGACAGCTGAATGCATTTACTCATGGAATGTCAGGGTTGGTAGGGCTCTGAAAAGTCATAAGATGGAGAAATTCTTTCTATACACCCTCACCAACTAGTCTTAAACACTGCCAAGAGCTACAGCCTCTATACAAGACAGTCTGTCCAATTTCTTAAGGGCTCAGACTTGGCATCTTTCTCATTATAAATTCCATCCATTGGCCCTGGCTCTGCCATGGGCACTATCAGAAAATCTCCAATTCCCCTCCCACATGACAGCTATCGTGCCTGTCAAGCCTTTTCTTTTGTTGACCTACGTTACTTCAACCTAACTCTCACGGTGTAGGTTTGAGTCTCTTTGCTATCTTAATGGTATATTTTTATTCCTGGATGCCATAATAAGAAAAATAAACTTAATTTCTATTACACAGTCGAATTCAAGTATCACTTTCCAAGTTCTAAATATCATCACTGGATAAACTGCATCAGCTTTCATAGCAGATCTATCCCACAATGTACCCTCAGGCTTAGGAATGATTAAATTTCTTGGTCTGACCCTCCCCCAAGAATTACATGCAAAGTCACATCTCTTCTGTCCTATACTTGACTAGTTGGTAAATCTGGATTCACATGAAGGACCTTACATTGATTCCTATTAAACTTCATCTTGTTAGTTCAACCTATCACAGGAGCTTGTCAAGACCTTTATGAATTTTTAACTTGCCATCTGATAAACTCAATATTCCTCTCACCAAACGAATATGATGCCTATGTACTTTCATTCAAGACACAGATAGAAGAGAGAGAACCAAGATGGTGGCATAGGTAAACACCTGTACTTGCTGCCTCCCACAAGCATATCAAAATTACAACTAAAATACAGCACAACTATCATCCAGAACTGTGGGAAAGCTGGCTGAGTGGAAGTCCTACATAGAGAATTACTGGTAAAGAAAAAAGCGCATTGAGACTGGTAGGAGGTGCGGAGGCAAGGAGGCGCTGACAGGCTGGCACCCAGTGTGCCGCTTTTTTAATCGGGAGGGAGATACAAGCTCCAGCTAGCTCTGAGCTCCAGTGCCGGGCGAGACTTTGGGGGACCCAGACACATATGGGGAGAAACCGGACTGTGGCATCGGGGCAGGAATGCAGGGGTGGCTTTCTTCCAGACAGAGGTGCTCACAACGGAACACTGTTCCTCCCCGGTGCAGGGCTGACTGGCAGCCATTGCTGTTTGCTCTGACCCATCCAATTTACAACCCTATCAAAGCTGTGCGCAGAGGCTTTTGCATATGAATGGCTGGTCCTTTCTCAGCCTAAAACCTGTCAAACTACAGCTGGGTCAGGGAGCCCCAAAGCTTCCAAAAGAAGGCCCAAGGCCCGGCAGCAGCAGCCTGCCTTGCTTCACAGCTGTGCCTCATCTGGGCACTTCCAAACCCCATACAAAGAGGAGGAATCTGCAGATCTTTCTTTAGTTCCTGCTGGGTGGCCCCAGGCAGTGGCTGACTTTGCACCTCCTTGGAGATCCAAGAGCCAGTGTACCCAGTGGTCAGTGTGAGACCATACCAGATTACAACTCGTCACATCCATAAGTAACACACTCAGGGGGCAGACTCAGTGAGCACCAAAGCCCCACTGAAGCAAGTCCTGACCCACAGGGGTGTCTCCTGCACATTGTAGACACAGCTGGTCCTCCCAGCCAATTGGCCTGGAGGTCAATTCCTCCCAGTGATACCAACAGCAATCAAGGCTCAACTACAACAAGACTGTGCACACAGCCCACAAAAGGGTGCACCAACAGTGTCCACCTCAGGTGACTGGGGAGGCTGAGCCACTGGGCCCTATAGGACACCTACTACACAAGGCCACTCTATCAATTCAAGGAGACTTAGCAGCTACCCAATACACAGAAATAAACGCAGGGAAGCAGCCAAAATGCGGAGACAAAGAAATGTGTCACAAATGAAAGAAATGGAAGAAAGCATACTACTGAATATAGAGTTCAAGACTACAGTTATGAGGTTAACTCAAGAATCTTCTAGAAACTTCCGAAGAACTTAGTGAGACCTTTAAGGATCTTAGTGAGAATGCCAAAAAAATGGAAAAGGACCAGTCAGAAATTAAGCATACACTGACTGAAATAAAGAATAATATACAGAGGTTCAACAGTAGAGTAGAGGATCCCAAGAATCAAGTCAAAGATCTGAAATACAAGGAAGCAAAAAGCACCCAACTGGAAGAGCAAAAAGAAAAAGAATCCAAAAATATGAAGATAGTGTAAGGAGCCTCTGGGACAACTTCAAGCATACCAACATCCGAATTATGGGGGTGCCAGAAGAAGAGAGAGAGCAAGATATTGAAAACCTATTTGAACTGAAGGTCAGAAAAAGAGCTTCACAGACAAGAAAAAGCTAAAGGAGTTTATCACCACCAAACCAGTATTATATGAAATGCTGAAGGGTATTCTTTAAGAAGAGGAAGAAGAAGAAAAAGGTAAAGATAAAAAATTATGAACAAAGTGACAACAATTACATATCTATCCACAAGTGAATCTAAAAATAAAATGAATAAAAAATCTGATGAACAGAATAAACTGGTAACAGAATCAGGGGCATGGAAATGGAGTGGACTTACAATTTTCGGGGAGAAGGGGATGTGGGGGTGTGCAGGAAGAGATGAGACAAAGATCTTATATGCATGTATGCAGTACCTATGGATGCAGACAGTGGGGTGGTAAGGGCCTGGGGTGGGGTGGGGTGGGAACCGGGTGGAGGGGAGCTATGGGGGGGGGGGGGGAAGAGGGACAACTGTAATAATCTGAACAGTAAAGATTAAAAAAAAAAAAGACACAGATAGAAGATTGAAAGAGGACGTAGTCAAAGACAAAGCTCTCAGGAATGCCTAGTAAACATTCTACCACACGTTCTGGATATACCCTTCAACCAGTTGTAATTCAACCAAAGTCTCTGTATCAAGTCCATACTTTCCATCTTATCCCAAGGACAGCATGAGAGCCCCTGGAAAAGGTTGCAAAGGGGCCCCAATTGACATCTACCATACTTTCCAGAGGGACCAGTCTAGTTCATAATAACCCTGTTGAGGAAGAAAATGCAATTTTTCTGAGATCCAGATCTTGGAATTTCCTGCTTTAATGACCCATACCACAACCTTACCTGGGAACATTACACCAAATGACCTGTGGTTTTCTAAAAGCTGCCCGCTTGGCTCTTTTTGAAAATCTTTCAGGATCATGCCTGTCCTCCTCAGTCCCTCAAAGAGTAAATGACTTTCCTTGCTCCATCTTTTCTTCCCCACAGACTTTCACCTCAGTAACTGACACTATCATCCAATCAGCACTTAGCCCAAAACTCAGGAGCTATCTTTGATTCTTCTCTGTCCCTCATTCCCACATTCAAATCACCAGCAAATTCTACTAGCTGTAATTTAGTATGTCCTATATCTCTTCATTTCTAACTCTATGGCCACTATCTTAGTCAAAACAACCTGGCTTCCTCCAGTTTTTGCTTTTGCATTAGTCCTCTTTTTAAAAAAAAATATATATTTTGTTTATTTTTTACAGAGAGGAAGGGAGAGGGATAGAGAGTTAGAAACATCAATGGGAGAGAAACATCAATCAGCTGCCTCTTGCACACTCCCTACTGGGGATGTGCCCGCAACCAAGGTACACACCCTTGACCGGAATCGAACCTGGGACCTTTCAGTTCGCAGGTCGACGCTCTATCCACTGAGCCAAACCAGCTAGGGCTGCACTAGTCCTCTTAAACTTTATTCTTCAAACAGCAGCTGGGGGTAATGTAAAAACTTTATATCAGAGCATTTCCTCTCTTTCCTTAAAAGTCTCCAAACTTCCTTCCATAGCCCATGCGGTCCTGAATGCCCTAATCCCCTCTACCTCTTTAGTCTTATCTCATACCATGATCAGAAACACTCACTGCTACCTTTTCACTTGTCAGGCTCTGCTTAGAACACTCTTCTCTCAGACATTTATATGGGCTCCTTCTCATCTTTCAATTTTCAGCTCCCTGGAGGCCTACCCTAATTACCCTATCTAAAGTTGCTGCCTGTTGCCTACCCACCTCCATCCTACTCCATTGCATTCCTTTAGGTTATTAGCATGCATTTATCACAATCCAAAACTAACTTGCTCGTTTTATTTATTTCTGTCTCCATATTACTAGAATATAAATTTCATGAGCCGAGACCATATCTGTCTTGTGTACCACTGCATTTCTGTACCTGACATGGTGCTCAGTAAATGTCTGCGAATGAATATAATAAAGAGATCTTGCTTATGCATCCTCCCAGATTCTAAAATGGGCGCTTTTTAGGTCAGAAGTTGGAAAGTGGGTTATTACCACTGGAAACTATAGAGCAACAAGCAGCCAGGAACTCTTAAAATCTGACTTGTTGCCCTTAAATATTTTGTGGTGACCACTTCTACCGAAACCATAAGTCCAAAGTTTTGCAGTTCTTTGATGGTTTGTTAGAAATTACATTAATTGGCGTGGCTGTGGTGGCTCAGTGGTTGAGCACTGACCTATGAACCAGGAGGTTATGGTTTGATTCCTGGTTGGGGGACATGCTTGGGTTGCGGGCTCAATTTCCAGTGTGGGGCATATAGGAGGCAGCTGATCAATGACTCTCATCATTGATGTTTCCATCTCTCTCCCTCTCATTCCTCTCTGAAATCAATAAAAGAGATATTTTTTAAAAAATCCATTAATTATAGAAGTTCCTCTGAATTAATATATGTATATATCCTTTAAAAATTGAGTATTTAAGGATTTATCGTCAACCATATTCAGTATGAATTCCCATTTAGGAAGCTTTATTTCTAATAAAGGAAGTATTCCATATTCCATTTTAATACTTGAGGGGAGAACCATATTGCCATTGTAAATAGCCTGGAAAAAGTAATACAGAAAAGGGAGATGAGTGTCCTTTTTCTGAAATTGCCTCCTACAGACTCTGGATCTAGAAAAGGAAGGACACAGTATTTTTTTTATTTTTAATCCTCACCTGAAGGTATGTTTCCACAGATTTTTAGAGAGTGGAAGAGAGAAGGAAAGACAGAGAAACATCGACTGGTTGCCTTCTGCATGTGCCCTGACCAGGGGCCAGGGAGGGGAGGAGTCTGCAACCGAGTAACAAGGTACCTGCCCTTGACCAGAATCAAACCCAGGACCCTTTGGTCTGTAGGCCATGCTCTATCCACTGAGCTACACCAGCTAGGGTGGAGACACTCTTTTTGGTCCTTCTCTTCACTGGCCCTAAAATTTACATTAGTAAACCAAGGCTCAGCAGCCTGCAGTGAGCTTATCTGGATATCTCGGCATCAGTTGTTAACACAGAACTTAATTTCCTGTGGGAACTGAGCGCCAACAAACTACCAGCTCCTATGCTGGGGTTGTTTCTATTTGCTGTACAACAGTTTTGCAAAGCTTTGGACTTACTGAGACCATTGGTCTACAAGATTATCTTGTCCTTACCCACCTTCACCAGTCCTATCCCTTTCCTCCTGGGAATGGCTCCTACTGTTTACCAGATGACCAGCATGTATTCTAGAACCACCCTCTCTTTCCCTTTTCCAACCCTCTCAGTGCACAAGAGTGGAAGAGAGAGGGAAAGACAGAGAGAAACACAAGAAAGAACAAGGAAAAAAATGAAGATACGATGACTCCCCAAAGGCCTACATACTTATATGACCAGAAAACTAGATAATTTGCAATAAATCTAACTTGTTTTTTCAAAAAATGCCCTGGTTTAAGAAATATAAAGACATACATTCAGGCAGGCAATTTACTACAGTATTCCCTACAGTGAAATGAGAGGAACTTTGTTTTATCATTTGATCTGAGAAATCTGAGACTATGAATTGAACTAGGAAGGCAGGAAATGGGCCTCACACAGCTGTTATAATTAAATGATGCCAGCATACCTCTTAAAGCCATGTGCACATCAGCTTGTGCCATGGTTTGGGACTATTTCAGTAAGTAAGACCTCATCTCCTGGCTTTCACTCAGGCCTCTCTTCATACATCCTGCCGGCTATGCTCCACCTACTTCCCAAGACACCCCAACCTTGAACACATCCAGGCGGGCAGGCCTCTCCCCCACGCAGGACTGCGAGACAGCCAATCCTACGTGCTTTCGTTTTCACCATTCACTCTGGCATCTGTGGGCCTCTCTTCAGAGAAGCGACCCCACACAAAATTATCCAACAGTTTAAAATATGGATAGGAATGCTTTTTAGTTCTTTTGCTCTGGCTGCAGGTGTTTTAATGCTCTCTGTCTTCCTCTCCTCATCAAGACTCCCAATATTACCAAGCTATTCAGAAGTAATAAATTAATCCACAGCAATTTAATCTGAAGAATGAGTTCACACTTGACCTCTGAGTACTTTATGCATCGGTTCTCAACCTGTGGGTCGCGACCCCTTTGGCGGTCGAACCACCCTTTCACAGGGGTCGCCTAAGACCATCCTGCATATCAGATATTTGCATTACAATTCATAACAGTAGCAACATTACAGTTATGAAGTAGCAACGACAATAATTTTATGGTTGGGTCACAACATGAAGAACTGTATTTAAAGGGCCAGAAGGTTGAGAACCACTGCACAGAGTTGTGTGTGGGAGCCTAGTACATGTGTAGGGCTCAGATTGGGTAATTATGTGAAAGCCCCAACCCTATGCAAATATAGTTATTATTCAGGAGTTGGGATCTTCATTTGTGAAACTTCCCAAAGGCTTAGGATTTTGGAAAGGGCAGTGTGGGTAAAGGGAAATGTGCATTCTCTAAAAGAATGAATGCCTAACGTGGATTTTGGGTAATGACACCTGGAGAGAAGAGGGATGGGGGGCAGAAGTGTCTTCCCGATGTTCTCCAAACCACAGCATACAAGGAACCCTTTAGAACCCCTAACCCAGCAGCATTTAAGGCTGGACCTGAATCCCTGCTCTAAATTGAGGAGCCATTGCTCCAAGACAGCACTAAACAATCCTCCTCTTGGCACTCGATCATCCATGCCTGCCTCAATGTTCTCAGGCTGCTGCACCGTGCACAGTATAAACTCCTTTTTCCTCGTTCAGCCACAGACTCCTTGAGAGCAGAGCCCTTATTGTTTGGCTCCTTTATAAGACACCACACAGTGTAAGCACTCAGTAAGTACCTGGAGGGCCGAGTTGAGACCATATAGTTGGTAGGAAAATCTAATTAAACATCACACATATGATGAAAGACTGCTTTGTCTTCCCTACAAATTGTTCCGAGACCCAAAGGTTCCATTCCGACAGCGGGTCCCGCCCCGGCTCCCTCCTCCCGCACCCTCGCCCTCCGTAGAACCCCACATTCCAAACGGCCTCCAGGAGGAGCGCCCGCCTCCCCTCGGGGATTTCTGCCTTTATGGCCGCACCGGGGAACGGCATCAGAGCCTCGGCTGTTCCCAATCCCGGCCCGGGGGTCCCGTCGGCAGCACCGAGCTCGCAGGAGAAACGTGGCCCGCCTCCCCCGCGCCCATTCCCCTTAGGAGTTAGAAAAGAAGGCTTTTTCACATTAAGTTTGAGCAATTTGACTCAAAACTCGCAACTGTTTTCAAATAAACTAGAGAAAGTTCACGATCTCCGCGCAAGTTGGGCTCACGGTTCCGGGGCCCGCGCCGGGCTCCGCGCGACCCAAACTGGGGCTGCCTGTCTCCCCTCCCGCCCCCCCCCCCCCCCAAGTCGCCTCCTTCCCCCAAAGCCAGCGGGTCCTCACGTCCTCTGCACCCACCTGCCGCCTCCTCCCGGCCGGCTCCCGGCTCGCCTCCGGCCCTTTCCCCCTCGGGGTCCCCACTTTCCCCTCAGTCGCCGCCCGGCGCACGCACCCAGCCGGGTCTCCCCTCCAGCCCTGCGCGCCTCTCCCCGCCCGCTCCCACCTCTTCCCATTCATCCGCGGCTCCCTGCGCTCCCCGCAGCCCGCGCACCTCGCTCCCGTCCTCCAGCAGCAGCCACTCGGCGTCCATGCCCACGCGCCGCAGGCACCAGCTGCGGCCCCCGGGGCGCTCCCGCCGAGCCCGGGAGCCGGGGTCCCCCATGGCCCTCGGCCCCGGCTCGTCTTCAGCACTCAGCCAGCCCCCGGCCGGGTTCCGGCCGCCTCGCCGCTTCTCTGACAACATAGCCACACAACAGACAGAAGCAATCGCTCTGCGCTCGCGATGGGCGCGAACTCCCGCCCCGCCCGCCCCGCCCCGCCCCTGCCGCTGCCGCCGCCGCCGCCGCCGCCAGCGCCAGCGGAGCCACTGCGCCTGCGCGGGAGGACGGCCGACTCCCGCAAGTGCCCCCCGAGTGCTGCGGGGGTATTGGGTCACCTAACTCTGCAGGCGCACCCGCCTCGCCCTTTCTAGTACCATCCCCCCTGTTCTAGCCGCACTGAACTGGAACCTCTTCTCACCTTTCCTTTCTCTCTTTTTAAAAAATATATATTTTTATTGATTTCAGAGAGGAAGGGAGAGGGAAAGAGAAACATCAACCATTAGAGCCCCTACTGGGGATCCAGCAGCAACCTGGGCATGTGCCCTTGATCGGAATCAACTCGGACCCTTCAGTCCGCAGGCCAATGCTCTATCCCCTGAGCCAAAGCGGCTGCGGCTTTTTTTTTTTTTTTTTAACATTTTGCTTCATGATGATTTCCATAAAACTGTAACCAACTTTTAACGTTAAACTTGTGGTAATTTTAAAATGTTAAGTCTGTTCCTAAGTAGTACATATTTTACATGACTTCCTTTTACTACCGGATTTCTTCTTCTGTTTAAATAAAACTCACACTAGGCAAATCTATCCAGATTTCTGGCCAGTGTGGCTCAGTGGTTGGAGGTTAGCCAGCACGGGAAGGGTAGTGGGTTGATCCCGATCAAGGGCACATACCTGGGTTGCGTGTTTGATCCTGGCCCCGGTGGAGGCACAGGAGGCAACTCTTACATAACGTTTCTCTCGAACTCTTCACCCCCATTCCCCTTCCTTCCACTCTCTAAAAATAAATGGAAAATATATATTTAAGGGAGAATTAGCAAAACAAAGTAAGAAATCGGTTACTTGAGGCTTAGGTGTGGGAGCCATGATGGAGTGCAAATAGACTTGAGAGAATTTTGGAAAGTGCTAGAAATTTTCTAAAACTGGATTGTAGTTATGATTGCACGGTTGTATACATTTACTAAAAAGTCACTGAAACATACATATACTTCCAATGGGTGAATTTTATGGTATGTAAATTATCCTTAATAAACCTGTTATTTTGTGTATGTGTGTGTGTGTTTTGTTAATCCTCACCTAAAGATATTTTTCTATTGATTTTTAGAGAGAGTGGAAGGGAGGGGGACAGAGAAACATCGATGGGAGAGACACATTGATTGGTTGCCTCCCACATGCGACCCTCCCCCACCCCACCAGCACTGGGGATTGAGCCTGCAGCCAGGAACCTGCCCTTGACTGGACTCACGGCCCATCAGTTCGCAGGCTGATGCTCTATCCACTGAGCCAAACTGGCTAGGGCATAAAGCTGTTAATTGAAAAAACAAAAACAAAAAACCCCTCAAAGTCCTTCCTTTGATTCTCCAATATAATGTGGTAACTGCTCCCTATAGTGAGTACCTCTGTGATAACTCAATGTCTCCTCTTGCCTTTTCAATCTTCCAATACCTGGTTAATGATTTTCTTAAATTCTGTTGAGAGGAAAGACATATATTAAATAAATTATACAAAGTATAATAGTAAACAGCTAACATTTATTGACAGCTAAGTGCCAAGAACTGGGCCAACCTCCCTACACTATCTTATTTGCTTGCCACTCACAAACAATATGATAGTGGTTACAATTATAATTCCTATTTTAGGGATGGTGGGAAAAGAGGCACAGAGAGGTTTAGAAGTCTTCTCAAAATAAAAATTAAATGGTGGAGTAGGATTCCAATTGAAGTCTGTTTCCAGAACCTGATTTCCTAACCATGGCTACAACCATGGAGCTTGTTATCTGTGTGGCATTGTCAGATCAAGAATTTCAGCCTGTGATGTCACAAAGGGTTAGGAAAATTGGTGGGTACCATAACCGCCCGTCTGCTTGCTGCTCCTTAGCGCTGCCGCAGAGGTGGGAGAGGCTCCTGCCACTGCCGCTGTGTTTGCCAGCCAGCGCTTGGGAGCACACTGATCACCAGGGGGCAGCTCCTGCATTGAGCGTCTGCCCCCTGGTGGTCAGTGCGTATCATAGCGACCGGTCGTTCTGGCCGTTCTGCCATAACGGTGGCTTAGGCTTTTATTATATAGATGGTATTAGAAACCAAGATCTGGGCACTAGGTATGCTTGCTGGTAATGGAAAGTTGTTGCTTCTAGGCTCTCTCAGCTGACAGAGCAAGGAAAAATATGTGTGAATGAATACTAACCCCTCTATATCCACATACCTATGAGTATTTATATGTATGTAATAACATACATACATATAAATACATACATACATATATACAGCTACCTATTTCAATGTGTAAGCGAAATGTATGCATACTGACACTTTACAACTCTTAACGCAGTACCAGCTGCCACCTGGATCATTCCAGTCATCCCCTTGCTTATCTGTAGCCTTGCACTCCAAGAGTGAACCTGGCTCTCACTATCGACCATTCATTTACTTAACTATCATTTCCAGGATACGTGTATAGTGGCTTCATAATTGTTAGCTCATACACCTGCAGGAAACATCTTTTAACAACTAGAGTGGACTGCTTATGGCAGGTCTTTTGACTTTAGTCTTACAGAGTTCACTCAATTCCAGAGTTACTTAAATAGGATTGGCACCTTTTCTCCCCACCCCTTTCAGAGAGATTATTTCATTGGTTAGAATCTGTTGTCAAAGTCCCCATTCTGTCTGGGATCTCTTGACCTCATAAATGATTTTTTAAAATTTAAGTACCATTAAAGTTCTAATGTAAAGTTGTACAAGTTTTGGCAAAAGGCATAGTGTCACACATACACTATCATAGAGGATAGTTTCTAAGCCCTACAAAAATCCCTTGTGCTTCACCTATTCAGCTCCACCCCCACCCCACTCCCACATCTTGCTTGTTTTATTTAACAATATATCTTGGCGCACTCCATAGCAGTGTATACATATATTCCTGCTTGCTCTTTATAGTTGTAGCTACTCAATGTGTGGATGTGCCAGTGTTTCTTCAACCAGCCCCTTATTGATAAACAGTTTGGTTCTTTCCAGTCTTTTGCTATGGTAAATAGTTCTACAATGAATTAGTAGGTACCATTTTGAGTACTTATTACATGTTTTTTATATATTATTTTAATCCTTACTACCATCTTGCAAGATATCCCCATTTACCTAGGAGGAACCTGAGACTACTGGGTTGCCTAAGATGTCCTTACCATGAGCTTCTTAACGGTTATGTCTTGTTTTCTGTTGTATTCCTGACATTTTTATTGAATGAATGAATGTAACTCAACTAGTAAATGGCAGTACAGGGGCTAAAGCCAGGGCTGTGAGCCTGGACCTACCTAGCCCCACAGGCAGCCTCATTACAATCTAGCCGTGGTCTCTAAGCTGGGATGGCCATACCTGGGAAAGAGAGCAGGATGCAGAAAATGAAGCAGGTATTACCTGTACCTGTGGATCTGACATGTCTCACTGCATATACTCAATCAATGTTAACTGAACAGGTCTAAGGAATGTTAGAAAGAATGGGGAGATGGGGAAGGAAAATGACAAGAGGAGGAAGCAGAGGGCAAGAAGAAAAGGAAAGTGGGAGAAATATGGAAAGAAAATGTGGCAGATTATTTTCCAAGATGATTACAAGAATATCACCCATCCCACATGCTCTTACTCTCAAGTGGCAAGAATCTAAGTGAGTATGTGACTCAGAGGGGATGCTACGCCATCAAAGGTGATAGTTTCCACCGGGCCTTTTGGGGCTGCTTTTGGAACCCAGTCGCCATGAGGAAGCAGAAAGAACCACATGGAAGAGGCCACAGGTAGATGTTCTGGCCAACAGCTCCAACTGAGGTCCCAACTTGATCCAGCATCAACTGCCAGACATGGGAATGAAGGGGCCCCTGGATGACACCCTGACCATGACTCACCACAGCCTTTGAACCTTCCAGCTGAGGCCCCAGACACTGTAGAGTAGATCCAAGTCATCCCTCTTGTGCCCTGAGTTCCTGACCCACAGAGCTGTGTTCAGCCATTGTCTGGGGACAGTTTGTTATGCACTAAAAAGAACTGGAACAGGAAAAGTGGGGTGGGGGACCCTTGAACAGTCACTGGTTGTCTGCCATAATGCTATGGTAATACTAGCTGCTGCGATATACAAACCCCAAATTTCAGTGACTTAACACAACAGAAGTTTATTTTTTACTCACGCAGTTATTCAGTGCAGTGTTTCTGGATGGTGGACAGCCTTCCATTAAATCATTCAGGAACTCAACTACTGTCATCTGTGGCTTCTCTATTGTCCAGAGCTCGGAGTCCTTTGCATCCAGAAAGCAAAACTGGGAAGCCTACTTTTTAACTGTCTTGTCTCAGAAGTGACATATATTCCTGCTGCTCACATTTTATTGGAGAGAACTGGTCACACAACCCCACCTCGATCCAAGGAAGGTCACGGAATGTAGTCCCTGGCTGGTCAGCCAGTTCCCAGAGACAACTCTACATCATGGAAAAGGACGCATGGATTTTGGTGGTCAGTTAGCTATCTCTGGAAGACGGCAGAAGTCAAGTTAAAGAATTAAAATGATGATCATGACAAAGCTTTCCCTTTCTCCCCCTCTCTCCCATTTCCTTTATCTCCTTGGAAAAAGATGGAGTACAAATGATCACATTTGCTCGCTGTGTGGCTTTGTGTGAGACCAGCCCTTAACCAAGTCAACAGTAAACTGGAGGCCACTGGAGCGTGGTAGTGAGTTGCATGGAGTCTGGAGCCTGGGCTCAAATCCTAGCTCTCCTACTTACTAGATATGAAACCTTGAGCCAGTTACTTGACCTCTCCAAGCCTGTTTCCCCATTTGTAAGATGAGGGTGATAAGGATAGCACTTACCTTATAGGATTGTTTTGAGGATTCATTTGGTTAATTCTGTAAGATAGTCATGCGTGGTACATGGGGAGTACCCAGTAATTGTTAGCTACTGTTGTAGAAGAATGGGGTGTCCGCTTCTGCAGAAGCCTCCTCCTGGGGGTACAAACGCTATCTTCCTACTCTTTTCTATACTCTCTTGTCTAAGAGACACCAATACAGGATGTTTCCCTTGTTTAAATTGGTGAAAGTTATAAAGTAGAAATCCCTTCAATAAACTTTAAATTCTTTTATTACCTATCTCCAAGCAAGATGAGTTTTTCAAAATGTGTAACCAAACACATTTGGTGAACAAGGATGAATCCACTTTGGGGGCACAGCTCTGCCAACTGATTTGAAGTGTGATTTCCTATGTGAGGGTCAATAAAGAGGAGCTGTTGTTTTTTTTTCAAATTCAGGAACTTTTCCATTATGTTTTCAAAAGATTGAGCAGAGAAGAAAGGGGTCTTGATGTAGCATCTCAAGCAAAGCCCTGTTGTTTCTCCCTAAGGACTTTCTTGAGATCACAGGATAAGTTTTCCATATATCACTGCATTTAGTCTCACCTTGGGGGTAGGGTGGGCAGCGAGGGCACAGGTGGCTTCCCTAGACTCAGGGTGATTGGGGGGAGCTAAGACCCAGCCTTACTGTGTGTGTGTGTGGGGGGGTGGGGCCGGCAGGGGGGGAAGGTGAGGCTGATGGCTCCACATTCTCATTCACTCTACCTTTCCTCTTACTCATTTATTCCACCACTGTCTCTTTTCCACCCTCCCCCAAATGTAAGACTTCTGCTGAAGGATTCAGGGAAAGATGTCTTTTATTTAACGGGAAATGTTTTAGAAAAACAGAAGCAGGTGAGGAGGGGAACAGGGACCATCTGCTTTGGACAGATTGTGCGCTGAGTAATATTTTATGTAAACATAGGACTTCAAGTATAAAGTCAGAAGATATTTCTGGCACCTTTAATCAAGTTTATGATATTTTGGAAGTACTTATAATGAGTCATCAAGTTTATTATATTCTGGAGGTATCTGTAATCAGTAATTAGGTGAATGTTTTAGAGGTACTTGAAATCAGTCCTGTATGAAACCACCTCGTTCCTTTGTGATCAGGGCCCTGTTTCTTTAAGCCAGCAGTTCTCAACCTGTGGGTCGCGACTTCTTTGGGGGTCAAATGACCCTTTCACAGGGGTTGCCTAAGACCATCGGAAAACACATATATAATTACATATTGTTTTTGTGATTAATCACTATGCTTTAATTATGTTCAATTTGAAATTGAACAATGAAATTGGGGGTCACCACAACATGAGGAACTGTATTAAAGGGTCACAGCATTAGGAAGGTTGAGAACCACTGCTTTAAGTACTCACATCCTTTAACTTGCTAAATATCAGTGTCCAGTTCAAATATTTATTACCCATCTGATTTAAAAAATATATGTATTTTCCACCATTCGGTTGATATGCATATTAGGCTTTTGTTATATAGGATAGCCTGGTCAGTGTGGCTCAGTGATTGAGTGTGGACCTATGAGGTTCGATTCCTGGTCAGGGCACATGTTTGGGTTGCGGGCTTGATCCTTAGTGTGGGGCGTGCAGGAGGCAGCCAATCAATGATTCTCTCTAATCATTGATGTTTCTCTCTCTCCCTCCCTTTCCCTTCCTCTCTGAAATCAATAAAAATATATTTTTAAAAATGATGAACTGCACAATGACTATAAACTGTTCTGATTCTGTGTTAATTTCATCTTTCTCATCATGAGTCTAAAAGCCTCCATTTGGTACCTATGGCAGCTTCCAAAACTGTCTCTGTATAGATGTAGATGTAACCAATGCTGACTCCATCTTTGTATGCCCCTTTCTTTTGAATTTCCACGTTCTGAACCTGACCTCAATAGTCTCAGCCAGGACCAAAGCCTTATGGTTAATGATTAGTTGTGTCCTATAAGCTTATACAATATAACCATAGAGATTCCTGTCAGTAAAAGGCCAGAATAAATATCAAAGTAGGTGCTGGTGTCAATTGGAAGCAGTTTACCATGATAAGACCAGGAGGTATGCTCCCTTAGTCTTGTGGCTCAATAGTAGTTCAGCTATACTATAAACATTTACTGTAACAACTGCCCAGCAGTGGTGATTACCTGCACAGACTGTGGGCCACCCTCCACGCTGACCCACTCTTCCTGTAACTTACTCTACAAGTCCTGTTATAATCGATAGACTTGCCTGCCTCGTTTTCTGGTCTCAAGATACGTTCTTGGTCCGGTGGTCATTGTACCTCCGTCCCTTCGGACAGTCTCCAGCTGGGAACTGAGTGTCGGAAGTCCTAAGAAGAGATATCAAGGGCTCAGTTACTGGGGTTTAGCTTAGCTTCTGACTCCAGTCCTTAAAGCTTTACAAAGATGCTGGACATGCAAAGTCCAACTCAAGACAGGCCGAATACTGTTAGCAAGAGGCTCTTGCCTCAGGAGCAAATGAGTTCACTATTTGAGTAATCTGTCACCATCCCTCCCCAGATGAATACAAGCCAAGGTGGGGCCTATTTAAGTAGGACTGTAGAGATTTAGATTACAGAAACATTAGGTCCACTGTAGGTCAGAGTATGCAAGAGTTAGTTTTCAAATTTTCATCAACTTTCTAATCATGACCAAACATATTTCAGAAAAATGCTTGACTTTCTACATAAATGAAAATCAGAATTTCGAATGAAGACTAATTCAGAATAGTTATTTTTTCTGGAACATTTAATGGCTTCAAGTCCAAACAATATCAAGTAGAAATACTGTCCATGTTTTATGATAATGGTTAAATTCCAAGGTTAACTGTAAACAGTCACTTGAATTTCAAAGTCAGATACCCTTTATATGCTCATGGGAAAGTCTGATCTCTATTTTCAACTCTCCTTATTAAGTTCTTATTGTAGATTGCTACCTGGATCCTGGTATCTGTTCTTCCCTTCCTCCATAGTAATAGAATCCTGATTTTGAGCCAGGTACATGGCTGCCTGACTGACTAATCCCCCAACCTCCCTTGCAACTAGGGGGTGACCTATCGTGGGGTTGAATTTTGACCTGTGAGTCTTAAAAGGAGTTATTATGGGGTACCCTTCGGGAACCTTCCATAAACACTACTGGCACGTTTCCTATGTTTCTTTCGTTGTCCCTTCTTTACTCCATCCTGTCGCTTGGAAAGTGGATGCAGTAGCTAGAGTGTTAGTTGGTCATCTTGACCATGAACACCGAGAGAAGTCCGGGTTCCTAAAGGCTTTGTGAAACAGATTCATCCCATGACCCTGGGTTGCCTACTTTTGGACTTTTATGTGAGAGGAATTTCCATGTTGTGTAAGCCAGTTATTTATTTTTTTAAATATATGTTTATTGACTTCAGAGAGGAAGGGAGAGGGAGAGATAGAAACATCAAAGATGAGAATCACCGATTGGCTGCCTCCTGCACAGCACCTACTGGGGATCAAGCCTGCAACCTGGGCATGTGCCCCGATGGGGAATCGAACTATGACCTCCTGGTTCATAGGTCGCCGCTCAACCACTGAGCCATATTGGCTGGGCTAAGCCAGTTATTTTTGGCTTTTGTTGGATATAGCTGAATTTAATCCAAATGACTGAAACCAAGAAACACTCTCAAATGAGCCCTAGGAAGAAGTTCCAGGTGAAGAAACCATTCCAATCTATACTGCAGACAAAGACACAGTCAGCTGCCTTTCTGGAATCAGGTTACTAAGAGGAAAACCAACCAACAACCAAAAAAGAGAAACCTTAATGAAGAATCTAAGTGGAGGGCCAGTCTTGGAACACATTTTAGTTCTGAATGGTTTGGTGGGAAAACAGTTTGATGGACAAGTTAACTCCTTTCGGACAAGTTAATCCACGTAAAGTGCTTGTCCCCGTGTTTGGCACATGGCGAGGTGCTCTCTCAGACATTAGGAGCCACGTGACCACTCAGTCTGCTTCCAGTGTCCTTCCCCGAGGTGGGCGCAGTGGGCCTGCTGATGTCCCCTGCCTGCCTTACAGAAGGCTCATCCCCACACTTACTAGTATCAACAGGAAAAAAAACCTAGAAAAGGGAGACTCCTTAGTTCCAGGTTACACAAATCCACGGGCGAGAAACCAGCAGCGGAGGAGGAAATCCACTCTTTATTTACAATTCTTTCACTTTACCCACAATTTCCCATACAAACATAAAAACTAAAAAAATAAAACCACCACTTGGGAACGTAAGTGTCTTTCTTCAGTCCAGCTGAGGCTGGGCCCTGGGCCACTCTGCGGAGGAGACTGAGGCACACGGCGGGGAGGGCGCAGGGTTAGGAAGGATGCCTGAGAAACAGCTCCAGGTGAGAGATAAGACGCCTGTGGGTGGCTCTGCTGGCAGACACCAGGGTGCCACCCACTGGGACACGGCTTGGCTTCTCAAGAAGATGACAGCTGCGTGCCACCATCCCCCACTCCTCCACTACCAAACGCCAAACATCGAACGGGGTCACACATCTTGTGAGCTGGATGGGATGTGATCACAATGGTGGGGACACCAAATGCCTCCCTCTGAGAAGAGCCCAAAACCCCAGGGACACACCGGAAACCCCTTTCCTTGGCACTGACAGTCAGTCACAGCTTCTGTCCTGAATACAATGCTGACTTACAAATGTAAAAACAAAAGCCCTCCCCCATTCCGGGGGAAAGGCAGGGGCTACAAACATGCAGAAGGGCTTCTGCCTCTGTGGTCCTCTCTCTGGGAGGCTAGGGGTGAAGACGGGGGAGCTCTGACTGAAGGCAGGAAGGAGCAGGGCAGAGGCTCCACCAGGGCCGGGGAGGGGAGTCAGAGGGGAGGAAAAACAATTGAGACACTGAGGCTCAGCATGGCTGCCTCTGGTTTCACAGCAGCTCCATCTGCTCAGCACAGCCCACCCTAGCAGATCCCACTCGCTTCCCTCCCGCCCAGGAGGGCATCCAGAAACCAACCTGCTGGCAACGTCACCTGCGCTGGTGACCCGGATTGCTTTCACAAGTTGATGCGCATTATAAATATAAAATCATATCTGCTACAAAGAGGACATATATTTGTACATCTTTACCCATATACATAATAACACAATTTACACATAATATCTTGGAGTGGGTC